GAAACAGAAGGAAGAAGTTCGTCAGGCTCGGGCGGCTGAAGAGGCAAAGCTTCGGGAGGAGACAACGACCGACATTATCTCCCAGGTCTCGCTTTTTGCACTACTGATTGAAGACATTCTCTGCGGCGCCGCCAACTTGGAAATTCTCGTTCTCGATCGCTTAGAGACGCCCTATTTGTCTCGTATCCTCAGCGATTCAAAGCTCAATCCCTTCGAATTTCCTTTGTCCACATTCCAGACACTCCTATCCTACCCAACTCTCAAGGTTTTGCAATTTGCTCGGTGGTATCTGACCAGTGTGGACGAAACTTTCGCAGAATTGATTATGGACCCTGAATTTATGTCCATGTCTATGGAGAGCTTACGGCTTCCCGTTGATGACAAATTGAACTCTGGTATCACGTTCTCAAAGCTTCAGGATATCGCGCGCTTTTATCCTCGCCTTAAATATTTTGAATGCTTCATCCGACGAATTTGTCCTGAATCCGGAATGCCACTCGATCCAGCAGCTGATTCTGATCCTACTACGTTGGAAATCATTTCTATCGGCGGCGGATCGCCTTCGCCTTCTGAAAAAATCAGTATTGCGAGGCATATCTCCTTGGTTTTCCCTGCGCTGAAAACTATCATTACACACGAAGGGTACGACGCGGAAGAGTGGAAATATGTTGATTCTTTGGTTACAATGTGCCAGGCTGTGCGTACGGACGAGAGGCGGCGTCAGAAAATTGACAGGACCTAACTTGAAGTCATCTTAACGACTCTTCAATCGGTTGGATGCATCGAACATGGCCACGTAAAGGTTTCGTAGGAAAGTAGCAAGCAGCCTAATAACTCGGGCGTCAATTCACTGTCGTTTGGCATATCGAGATGTGAAACTGGATATCATGCCAAAGCGTGCAAAAGTACTTGCAGAGAAACTGAAAAGCATATTTGCAATATGTACAATGACGAAGTAGACAGCAAAACAATATTGGGACAGAATGGATGTTTCAATCTACAAGATAGAAGTCGCTCATGACCTGTGTGCTTGGGTGGTTGCTTCCTTTGGGTGGCTTCACAATGAGGTCTGCTTGTTGCCTGAACATAACCCACAAGGAAAAAAATCGAAAAGGAAGTGTCAGAAAACTCAACTCAGTAATTATTTTGAAACTGCGTACAATCTCATGCGAAGCAAAAGCTTCCTGTTTGTTGACTGAATCTCCGTTCCAGCCTGGATCGCACGAGCAAACAATTCGTCTCTGTAGTCCGTCTTTTTTGCGTACAGAATCTGATTGCGAGAAGAGAGTCTGTAAGTAGCCGGACAATCTAAAATTCAAAAAAAGTATGTACCTTGTTCTGGCTGTCTACCCTCCCATGGATATCCCCAGCCTGGATCAAATGCACGACGTGATGCTCGACTTCTTCGACTGTCCAGCCAAACGCTGCGCTCATCCGTTGGAGTTTGATAGATGCAAAGGGCTGGAAGTAAAGCACCACAGCGCTGTTCCGGATGAACTGGGTCAGATCGTGTACATGTGGCGAGAGGTGGATATCAGCGTAATGTCGAGTCTATTGAGCAGAAGGAGACGCGAGTATCAGTATTGAAAGAAGTATATCGGATGAAAAATGCGCTGACTGAATAGCGTGACAGAAGCTCGAGCACGACTTTGAAGTTGCTGTTCATGTATGCTTCGATTAGTTCGCGAATGTATGGCTCCTGTTCGATGTATGCGCCAAATACCGAGTTCTCCAGGATTTTCGATTTGATCGATGAGCGAGGAAAACTTGCGAGAGCGCATAGTGTGCCGTAAATCGCAATATCAGATGGTGCGATGAGCTATAGATCCAAACAGATGAATTTACAAGCGAGGAAACGTCAAAAAAAAATAAAACTGCTTACCTTCCCGATCCAATCACCCAAATCCTTCGCAGGACCGATTTTTAGGAAACACGTGGCGGCTTTTTCATAGCTTGCTTGCCCTAGATGCGATAACGCGGTTGCCAGATCGAGTTTGGCTTGGACATTGTCGCGTTCGACTGACTTCTTCTTGGACGCTGTGGCAGTCACAGTGGGAGCTGGAGCCCCAGATGAGCCGGCAGCAGGAGCATTAGCGGCAGTCGTGGCGTCCAGAGCGGCGTCAGCTTTGAAGACGTATGTCGTGAGATGGGAATAATTCCTTTGTTCGATCAAGAGCTACAATTCAAGTAGGAGAATGAGAGGATGAAAACAGAAAAATAGAGGAGATTACTAGGTACCTCCAGAATGGACATGCACATTTCAAGTACATGTTGGCTCGTCGTGCAAAATTCGCGGGATTTGGTGTAATGTTTCAGCGCTGTGCCATAGTCGCCTGTCGACCGATAGAAATCTCCCAAATCGCGATGGGCCATCTACAACCCCAGCACTATTAGTACCTTTCACCGATCCAATACGGCCTAAAACGACGCACCCGAATGCTCTCCTTGATCATGTTATTGCTATACGTCTTCAACTCCACCTCCAACTTAACACGATCCGCCTGGTTTTTCGCTAACATCTCGTCTGCCCACTTCGTATCAAGCTCCGCGAGCTCCATCGGATTCGGTAGAGAGACCTCCGACGTCGAAGGCACCTGGTCATACGCTTGCAGAAGATTCTGGTATAGCGATGGGTCGCGCGATTGGTGGATGTGCTGCACACAAAGCTGGAATGCCTCTGCTGCTATTGACGGCGCGATGGTCATAATGTGTATGAGTCTATCGATAGCCGTCCTTCCTGTGTTATAGCTTTAGAAAACATTCGTTTTCGCTGCACTTGTATTCGGTGGCTTCACCTGAGTAGTTGGATATGTAGCTCTCGAGATCAAATGGATGAGCATCGTCCACTGGAACGACGAGCGCCCTCCTCGTCGTCTGGGGTGCGGCTGCTTGAGCTTCTTCTATCTGGTCTATTTCCATATTATCGTCGAAAAACAGCAGCTTCAGAGCAAGACGACGATGGAGATGGCAATTGTATTGAGTCAAGGACGATGGCGCCGTCAACTGCCAATGGCATTACCTAATTAGGGCATCCACACACAACCCATTGTCCACACACTCAGATAATACTCAACAGATACAGAGGATAAATTCTCTTCATATTCCGAAACCCCATATTATATAAAGCAGGAGAAAGTAATCTCTACTACAAAAGATATGCAGAGATTTACTCTCGGTCAAAGTTCTTCCAAGCGTGCTTTTCATACTCGATGATGCGACGTTTCCGCTTCGTGGGTCTAAAAGACAAAATAAACGGAAATACCAGTGAAATAAAGATGAGGCGTACATAACGGGAACTCTCGGTTCGATAAGAGCTCTCTGCTGCAGACTACGGAAACGATCACGGAATAGGTTGCCCTCAACCTGCGAAATCCGTGAGTACTAGATAACAAGCCTGACACGAACAAGAAACGAACCTTCAACGCCCTCAAACTCTCCGTCAAATCCTCACCGATCTGGACCTCGACATTGCTCTCAGGCACCTTGTGCTTTCCGAGTTTTTGACCAGCAAGACCATGAGTTTTCAGCTTTTCAGCTACCGCTGCAAGTCTTTGCTGACGCGCTTCTTCTTGAGACTGCATCAATTTCGCTGTCGAGCGTCTAATAAACTTTGCATCATTGATGGAAGCCAATAGTCGTTTGCGTTCAACCTTTTCTGCGAGAGCTCGTTTCTACAGAGACATATAAAAGTCAATCACGGCACTTTCTCGGGTCGTTAGAAATGCGTACCTCCTTGAGCAGACGAGCGGCTTTATTTTTCTGGGCAGAGGTTTTGCGCGTTGCGTCCTTTTTCGAGGTTGCCGTCTGTTCCACAGCCTCATCTTCCTCATCTTCCTCTTCCTCTCCATCCTCAGTGATCTTCTGCACAGTCATGCCAGCGGCAACCGAGATATCAAATACACCGCTGCTGCCCTTCGCAGCGTGCATCTTTTCCTTCGTCGCGGCGAGCTTTTCGGCCGCCTCTAACCGTTTTTGCTCGATTGCAGCGGCCTGCTCAATGAGTTCCGTATGCGCATCCACAGGAGGATTATATGAAGTTCCTTGATGAGGTTGTGTGATGGCTGGTACGGCGATGAGGTCTCTCGTCGTCGTCGTCGATGGGGCCTGATGATACGTTAGCTACTCGTGAACATAGAGAGATAAAGAACAGAAAGATCATACCTTAGGCTTCTTTTTCTGCACTGTCTCCAACCCATCCTTTAACACTTCTTCGGCAGGCTCTTCCGCCCATGCATCATACGTCCCACTCTTTTTAACAGCCTCGCTGAGTTCAACGATCCCACTTCCAGCGGCATACTCTGATGGGTCTAGGATGCTGTTGAACGGCCCCTTTCTTGGTCGCTTCGCGATGCGCATGAGCCTCTCCTTGTCGTCGCGGCTGACGCCTGACTTTCTTTTATTCGACGCCGACGTTATGCGCGATAAGACGGCGGGCACCGCTGAGCGTTGGGCGAGAATTTTAGTAGAAGTCAGCTGCGCAGCTGAATACCGAGGCGGTAGGTGGTTCCGAACTACAAAATTGCATTATATGTCAGTCAATAGCTTTCAGGAGGTAATACAACGAGAGAACGCACTATGGTCGTCTCCCTTCGTGTCTATCTGGAACAATTCCCCATCCTGCAACTTGCCCAGCGTTGAGCTACAGAACCACCATGAGTATGCAATGTCCACCAAGAAATAATGAATATGAATATACCCAACAATCCTTTCCTCCGCCCTCAAGCCCTCCAAAACTTCCTCGACATCCTCAATATTCACATTTTTGCGCCAGGCCCGCTTTCCTTTCCTACTCGACTGCGAATGCTGAGACGGCGCGCCTACAGTAGACTTGAGCTTTAGACCCTTCTTGGTATTTGAAGACGCTTTGGCTTTGGGGTCGTTTTTCAAAGGAGCCATGGTGGTGAGGTCCAGAATCAAAATTTGAAATGCGATTGAGGCGTCGGCAAATGGGCATGAAGGGTCGCCGCGGGCCAGAATTATCATCCTTTAGAAAAGTACAAGGGCACTTGGCACAGTGGTAGCGCGCTTGCTTTGCATTAATTGATATGCTTGCACGAGGTCGAGGGTTCAATCCCCTCAGTGTCCACTTTCAAAGTCTATTTTGCGAAAATTTTTGGGGTTTTTTTTCTTTTGAAACATACATTTTTACAGCAGGCTCAATAGAATCTGATTCTGGGCGTTGGATTTTGTTTTTGTAATGAACTCAACTTTATTTTTTGAAAGCTACAGCCCCAGTATGCCCAAATTGACCTTCCATCCTCGCCATGGATTGCGTCGGAAAATAATTCAGTCATCAAAGCGACTATACCTATATTCTAATGTCCATTTCTGAATCCTAATATAAATAATACAACGCTCGCCCTCCCCTCCTTCAAGGCGTATGGCGATAGACAAGAAAGCCAAAGGGTACGTATTTATGTGTACGAGTACTTACTATGCTGCTAAAACGAATGATTCAATGGATGGTGGAGTATTCTATTATGATTCAAGCACAAACCCTGATTAAATTAACAAACCCACGGTGCATACATCACCATCTTAGCCAGCCAAACAACAAGTAGGATGGGTTATGTCGAGAAGACGCCGATGATCTTGAACGCTTGCACGCCCTGTCCTTCTTCGCCAAGAAGTTGGCATTCGACGAAATGTGACCCACGGCCAACGTAGTGGTCGATAACATGTAGTCTGGACATTCAGAAGACTGTCAGTACTTTCACAAGCAGAAGTAGACGGAGCGAGAACTCACGCAGCCGTAGGCTCGCCCACATCTGCGGCATTCTCAATAACCTTCGCCCCTCCATAATTATCGTCCACCCAGCATTCCACCGAACTGCCTTCGCCGACCTGCGACACTGGCTCCTTGAGGTAATAAATCCCGATATCACCAGCGCCGACCTGCAGCGGTATTCTTAGCCTGCTGGTTGGCAGCGTCGAGTACCAATAGTGCGCCGTTGTTTGCAGCGAGCTGCCGCCCGAAGCCGTCGGGTGGAATGCAAACCAACCTGAACCGTAAAACAACGATGGTGGCAACGGATTGATCAGATCGTTCGCGGACACACAGAACGGTGCCACTTCTTCGAAAGCTCTGCCTGAGTTTGGTCGTGTATTGATACGGCCTTGCGGGACGCTGAGCGCCTGGAAATGGCCCTCCTTGCTCGGCTTCTTGTTGTTCTCTCCGTCTTTGCCCTTCTTCGAGTCTGGCTCTGGCACACCAGGACGTTGGCCAAGTCCTCCAAATAGACCAGATGAATCGCCCGTCTCGCCCGGCGTCGCACCGTCGAACGCGCTTCCCTGCGCGACAGACCATGCGGTACAGATCTGGGACTGCATATATGCTATCAGAATGTCGGTGATGAGGTCATGGCCTTCAACGCTGGCAAGTATCGGGTCAACATAGTACTTGTTGACAGATGCGGGGTTCTTCATGTATTCCGGAAATATGGCGGACTTGATGCTGATATGCGGGACGTCGTAGAACTGCGCCACGATGCTATGCCAGTGGTCGGGGCCCGCGAAGCCATGCATGTGGTGCACCTGCGGGCTGAAGTGTCCTAGCAGTAGCACGGCGGGTTGGTCGGGGCGGATTAGGATCGAGCGGACGAGGATTTCGAAGTTTTCCATCATCTCTTGACCGCTGTAAGTACGTTAGCTTAGAAACGGCGTTGGAGCTGACGGCATGAACGTACGGAGGATCCTCTGTATCCAGCTCAATGATGACTAGGTCGGTGACATCTGGCAGATGATGCGAATTGCAGAAACCAAAGTAGCCTGAATTCGTCCGTCGCATGGCCCCGTTGGTGAGCTCTGAGGCGGGATGAGGGAAAACCGAGTTCCACCATTGGAAGAACTTAGATGGGTAGCATTTTGGAGATATAGGGTCGTCGCCTGCACCATGACATGAAGATACTAGAGGCCGCTGTCAGAAGAAATGAGCAGTGAGACACCGACAATAACACGCACCTGAGCCTCCAAGGACGCTGATCGTCACTGGTTGTCCCGCCAGAGCCTGGTTAAGCACGCGCTGTATGCGGGCCCCACTCCCAAGATGGATGACACTCTTCGAGAGCGTGTGTGGACCGAGCTTGGCCCCGAGCTCGTCGCCTGGCCCATACACTGGGCAAAACGCGAACGGGTTGGGCCCTGCTTCGGTTGCATTGAAGTAGTTCTTCGCTTTGACGTCGGCGTTGGAGTAGTTCTGGACAACGCTGCCGCTGCCTATGGATGGCCAGATGAAATGGGTGCAGGTGAGGACAAAAATGAGTAAAAGCAGCACGACCCAGATACGATTGGTGACACCGAGGCTGCGCTGGGCGAAGCGAGAGGGCTTTTCCGAGTCGGACGCCATATGGTGGTTTACGGACAGCGAGATATGTGCCTGTCCTCTGCCTGCTCGCCGTTGCATGCGATGAGCAAAGGCTTTTGAATGGTGACAAACAAAGAGATGAATTTTCAGGGGGCAACACTTTTCCACGCCTTGATTCTTGCACTCATGCGCTCGTCGTCGCCAGCAAAGATGCTGAAGCCGGGCATCGCCACCCAGCTTCGTCGGATACCACCACCCATAGCGCTCGCCATCGGGATCCTATTTGGCTTTCTCTTTGCGCGGCTGCTGCCATGGACGACAGTGAGTAACCCTCTTCAGCTCTTCAGTCGACCTGCTCAGCGTCTTGCCAGTCGTCCACGCCCGTATGGAGGAGCGGGCATATACCCTCGAAATCGCGCCAGCAGAGCAGGCATCCCATTCAGCTGCCAACATTAGACCAGCGGGCGCGCGTTCTCGACCTCTTGACCACACTTTCGCCGCACTATACGAAACAGTGTACCCGCGACGCGCAACCACTGTACGCCCAGCAGGCGCTGGAGAGATACGCCCCACTCATTGGACACGTCCCACCTTCGAGCAGCTCGTGGATTTCAGGTCTGCTGGGCAGCGAAGCGGACCACGGACAGACCGTGCGCCGTGATCTCGCAGCGAGCGAGCACAAATATTTCTTTGCCATCAACTTGTACAACTCATTCGACGTCATCCCGGACCTTTTTGCGGCGCTCTTCCGCGTCGCTGCGATTCTGGGATACCATAATGTCTTCGTCAGTATCTACGAGAACGGATCGAGTGACCAGACCAAGGCGCTTCTGCGCATATTCGACGCGCTCACAAGGAGCGTTGGCATGCGTGTGATGATCCGCACTTCAATGCGTACGCGCGGTGCATTTAACCATCGCATCGAGTACCTCGCCGAGGTGCGCAACTCTGCCTTCGTTCCTCTGCATGAGTTGCGCGACTCAGAGGGCGAGTACTTCGACTCGATCATCTTCATGAACGACATTTTGCCGTGCATCGATGACCTGCTCGAGCTTATCTGGCAGAGCCGGCGCAACAACGCAGGTATCACCTGCGCGGCGGATTATATGTACCACGACGAGATTCAGGCGCCAGTATTCTACGACAACTGGGTTGCCCGCGATATCAACGGAACTGCTCTAGAAAACGCACCGTTCGAGCGGATCTTCCACCACACCGAGTCTGCTCAACGGTGGCAACGACATCTGCCCATCCAGGTGCAGTCGTGCTGGAATGGCGTCGCCGTACTCGACCCCGCCCCATTCTACTCCCCACCGCACGTCCGTTTCCGCATGGCTCGTATCGTCGAGGGCGAATGCAGCGCCTCCGAGTGCAGTCTTATCTGCAACGACTACTGGGAGGCGGGCTATGGACGCATCATGATGGTTCCGCGCGTCAAACTTGCGTACGATAGTGTATGTGCTCTCCTTCCCTGTGTGATCAACCTTGCTCACTCCCTCGCAGAAAGTATATGATATTATTCACCCATCACGGCGGAACCTCACCGCCATCCGCGGCTACGTGCGTCTTGGTGGCCTCCCGGACGATCCTCGTACGGACCCTCAGGATCGCTCATGGTTTGGTCCCCATGATCGACTGTTTACGGAGGAAGAGAGCGAGCCGATAGGATTCGTTCCGGGTCCTTCACATGGTGGGTGTCTTTATATTCTTTCCTCTTTTCTTAGTTATAACTAATCTACCAATTTTTTGGACAGTTTGGTGCTGGGGTTGGGATGGCGCAGGCGATCTTGAAGGACCAGATGTTGATCCCATCTGGGAAGCGATGCCGAACAAGTCGACGAGGACGGATGCGGTGACGGTGAAGCACGATCGGTCGCTTTTCTGATGGACTTAGTTTTTGCTATGTAATAGTATAATAGGGTATAGAAGTTATTGCAGTATCGAAAAATCATTTAATTCCTAGACTCTGCCGTTCCGAGCCATGCTTCAAACAGCCCTACGACAACCATTGACCGTCGAAAGTAAACAGAAGATGTCCTTACATTATCGAAGATTTCAAGGGCCGTGACCTAGCTGGCGGTATCTCTACGTCAACGTAAAATCAATTTGTTATGATAGGGAAAAGAAATCCAAGTCGCGTGCACTGGCGGGCAGCAGCACGCCGCTACGGCAAAGTTCTATGACCACTGGCAATTGGTTGTAATTTGTCAACTTCATAGCAAAGAAGACTCCGGCCACATTTTTGAACTCCGATACTAACAGTGACTTCGGTTCGTGCTTACTGCTTATTGCCATACCACATCACAAATGCCATCTGAGGACGACAGCTTCCCCAATTCCGAAGAACATTTTCGAAGCGCGTTTAATCAGTCCGATGCTCCGTCAGAGCTACTGAAATTGTTGAAGGAGTACCCGGAATACATGGTCGTGGTCGATCTGGTAGTCAACTACAAATGGATTCTCAAAGAGAATCCCGAACGCGCAGAAGAGTTGACCCGCACGGTCGTCGCTCTCCTTGATGCTCCAGACGCCCCCGTCATAGACAGCGAAACCAAAATTTCGGAGATCATCAGGCGCAGAGTGGCCTTTCTTCAAACAGGCTGCCTTGAAATCAACGACGATACAAAAGATTTCGGTCCGACCAACGATTTCCTGACAGGATCTCTTCTCTCCGGCTTTGCATTCAAGTACAATTTGGCTCAATGCTCTGATCAATACGGCGGAATCCTGGAGGGGCTTGACGCCGACCCCGCATTAGCGAACTCTGAAGTTCTGGTTACTGG